TTTAGGCTACCGTTTTCACAAACGTTTTTGGGGCAAGGGCTACGGTACCGAGGCAGGTTTGGTTAGTGTTGAACATGGCTTTAAAAACCATAACCTTGATGTTATTATTGGGCGTGTAGACAAGAATAATATTGGTTCTATCCGCATACTGGAAAAATGCGGAATGGTTTATTGGAAAGAAACGCTTTGTGGCACAGAGCCGGGTATGTATTACAGGGTGTATAACCCGTATAAAGGCAAATAAAAAAAGCCTCGCTTGTAGCGGGGCTTTTCAGTAAATATCAATTACGCTAAATGCTTAGCGTTGTTCCTTAATTACAGGAGTTAGCATATCAACTTGTTTGCCGTACAATTGAGGCTGCATGTAAGTGCCTTTTTGGCCGTCACGCTTTTCAACCTCAGTATCGCGTTTCTCAGGGTGTTGCTGCATGTAAAGGTCGTTACGCTCGGCATATACTACCCAGCTGATTTTTTTGGCCTGCATTACCACCCGAAATTTTGAAGGTGTTGCCTGTACCAATTTCTTCTTTAACAAATAAACCCGGAGCTGAAGCACCTACCGGAGTAAGCTGGTAGCTAAAGTTGATGTTGATAGACTGGAAGTAATGAGGAAGTGTAACAGTAGCATTACCATTAGCATCAAGGTTAACATTACCGCGGTATACGTTTAATACCTGATCTGACTCCATAGAGAAGTGCTTTAACACTTTATTTTGAGGGTCTAGCGGATGGTCAATAACAAAGGTTTTAGTACCTGTAGCACCTAAATCGCCTAGCGATAAAACACCGAAGTAAGAAAGGTCTACCGAAGAACCAATAACACCTGCACCATGCGCTGACTGACCTAAAACAGCAGCGTTATCATCAGCAGGAGAAACAGTAAAGTTTTGGCCTAATACACCCGCAAGGTTGCCATACGTAGTTTGGCCGTTAACACCAATACCACCTAAACCTGCAACAGCAATAGAGTTCATGTTAGTACCTGCAGGAGTTGCTGTGTTATTTGCAAATACAGCGTAGCCCTGGTTAAATGCGCTCTTACCCGATACACCATTAAAGCCAACACCTTCAGTACCTATACCACCGGTAGTACGTAAGTTGTTACCGCGTACAGCCACATCAGATGTAGAAGTAGAAGTAGCCTCCCCTGCAACCGCGCGTGAAGCCCCTGTTGCCTGTCCGAAGATGGCTGAGTTATTTTGAGTAGAGCTATTGGTAATACCTTGTATAGTAGAGAATGTATTAGTAGCATTAGCGCTGTTAGCGGTAATTGCATTACCGGTACCGTTAAGGTTAGCACCAATACCAGCAGTTAGAGAACCGTTTTGAGTAACTAAAAGAGCAATACCGTTAAGGCCTGTAACGCCTGTTGGTCCTGTAATAGATACAGAGCCTGCATCGGCAGTAATGCTACGGCCTGCGCCAGAGCCACCAAAATCGTAAGCAGCATCAAGTGTTCCACCACCAGAACCGCTACCTGTTGGGCCGGCAGGACCGGTTGGACCTTGAGCACCTGTTGTACCAACACCTGTTGGACCGGCAGGACCCGTTACACCCACACCTGTTGGACCGGCAGGGCCTGTTGGGCCTTGGGCACCAGTAGAGCCATTAGCGCCTGTTGTACCCGCACCTGTTGGGCCTGCAGGGCCTGTTGGACCTTGAGCACCAGTTGTTCCGGCACCAGTTGGGCCGGTAGGGCCTGTAGCACCTACACCCGGACCAGTTGGACCTTGTGGGCCTGTTGGGCCTTGTACACCTGCACCTGTTGCACCGGCAGGACCTGTAGGTCCTTGAGAGCCTGTTGCACCCGGAGCACCAGTTGGGCCTTGCGAGCCACCACCATTAGCTGCATAAAGAGCATACGGTACGCTTATAAGTTGAGATGTACCTGCAACACTATAGGTAGTGCCACCGGCAGGGTCAATTTCTGTTTTTACATACTTGCTGCCACCACCCCATGCAATGTTTGCAAAGGTTCCGCTAACAACAGTACCGGTACCAACCTCAAGGTTGAATAAACCAAACTGGTTAGTGGTTTTAGTGTGAGTCTCTTGATAAACAACAGTACCTGAAGGGCTTCCGTCTAAAATAGTAATGCGGATACCTACCGGTTGGCTTACAAGTTCTGTACCGGCATTATTGCGGGCAATAGCCTGGTAATTGAATTTTTGCGGGGCCTGTGCATTCGTTCCCGTGCACACGGCTAATGCCAAAGCTAATATGGCTACCGACTTAGTGAAAAGCTTATTCATAGTATAACTTTAATTTTTTTGAGCCCCGAAAATACTGATTTTACTCATAAGTTGGTGGCCGATAGTTCTTGGTTGTTAGTAAATACTAATGTTACAGCAGGTTCTCTTTATAATTCAACCTAAGCTTTGTTAACCAATGGTTTCACTTTAGTACCGATTAACTCAATGGCTTTCATCAGCTTTTCATGCCCCAACGATGCCGTATCCATTTGGAATGTAAGCCTTGATATACCGCCCAATGCGTTACTATGGCGGATGATTTTCTCAGCCACCTCTTCGGGCCCGCCAACAAGTAATGCACCTAAATAACCGGCTTGTGCATCAAATCGGCTACGTGTCATAGGAGGCCAACCGCGCTCTTACCAATATTGCTCATGCTCTCGGCATAGCCGGGATAGAACTCATCAATAGCCTGCTCAGTCGTGTCGGCAACATAACCTAATGAGTGCAAGCCTACTTTTAGTTGTTCAGGTTTGAAGCCTGCTACCTCACCTGCTTTGCGGTATAAATCGACTAGCGGACGGAAACGGTGTGTCTCCCCACCTATCACAGCAACCATCAATGGTAAGCCTAAAGTACCCGCACGTATAAACGATTCGGGCGTACCACCAACACCTAACCACACAGGAAAAGGATCTTGCAAGGGGCGTGGGTATATAGGCTGGTTATTAAGCGCAGGGCGGAATTGTCCCGACCATGTTACATACTCGTTTTTGCGGATGTTTAGCAGCAAATCCAGTTTCTCCGAAAACAGCTCATCATAATCATGAAGGTTCAATCCAAACAGCGGAAAAGCCTCAGTAAACGAACCTCTGCCAACAACCATCTCCGCACGGCCTTGCGATATCAAATCAAGCGTAGCAAAGTTCTGAAACACCCTAACAGGATCGGCAGCAGAAAGCACAGTAACCGCGCTTGTCAGACGTATTTTCTCCGTACGGGCAGCAGCGGCAGCCAATATCAATGTAGGCGCCGAATCTAAAAACTCCTTGCGGTGATGCTCACCAATTCCAAATATATCATGGCCTGTTTTATCGGCATATTCTATACGCTCCAGTAGTTGGGCCAAGGCAAACTTATTGTTCTCGGGCGTGCCCGTATTATCATCGCCAAAGCGGGCGGCAAAACTATCAATTCCAATTTCAATCATGCTGAGATAACAGAGGTGTCTCTTTTAGGTTTAGTTTATAGTTGGTTACATAGAGTATACCGCCTACTTCTTATATTTATCGCGGAGATAGGCTATATACTTAACCAAATCACCACCGGCTATTTTATTCATTTCATCGGCAAAATCGTTCATCTTGCTGTTGTACTGGCGCTTCACAATAAAGTAGGCATTGTTAGGCAGCGGGCGGTTATCAAACACATGGTGATAATACGGCTTATCAATAAAGTTAACCGTATCAAGGTTAGCCACAATCTTACCAATATACGCCTGCTTCAGCTTACGTTGCGCGGCAGGGTTATTAAGCCCTTTCATGGCAGCATACAGGCTATCCAGCTTGATGGCCCCATTCAGCATATACTGCTCAAAGCGGTCAATGTCGGCTATATCATTAACGTAGCGGGTAGATTCTTTAGAACCCTTACCGTACTTATCCTCCATATACATAATAGCCCCGCGCATACCTATGAAGTTGGCAAGGCTCTCGCTAAAATCAACATTGCCCTTTATATAGATGGTAGAGTGGCTCAGCTCATGAAAGAGCAGTTCTGCAAGGTCCGCTTCGGGATATTCCAGCATGGTACTCATTACAGGGTCAGAAAACCAGCCTAAGGTGCTCCATGCGTTCACTTCGCGGATGCGGGTATCGTAGCCATCGGCTTGCAGGTCGGCCGCTTGGTCTTGCGCCCCTTCCAGGCTAAAAAAGCCCTTGTACGACACATTACCCACTATAGGAAACCACCACATCTTCGGCTCCAGGCTAAACTCCTTACTGGCCGATACTACCCAAAGCAAAGGCTTGCCCTGCTGGTCATACAACTTGGTGTAGTTGTTGGTGGGGAGTAAGCCCAATTTACCAAAGGCATAGGCCCGTATTTCCTTTACCAGCTGCAGCTTTTTGCGGACGCTATCTGGCACCGCGGTGTCTTTCAGGTAATCGTCAATAGGCTCGCTTTTGGCTAGTATGCGCATTTGCCCTACCGCTGCTTGCGACAGGTACGATGTGTACTTGGCACAGCACAGGCACGATACTATAAGCAGCATCAGCGCCAGTTCTAA